CACACACACACACACACACACACACACACACACACATATGTGTCTGAATATTTCATAAGGCTTCTTAAGGCTTCAAGCACTCAGTGAGGGGGTGTTGAGGTGAGGATGAGGACTTAGTCTGCAACTATTTACGAGGCATACCAAACCTGTCCTCTAAACAAACAAACAGAATAAAAGCCTGCTGAGCTGAGTATCCTAGCATTTCATACCTCCTGGTCTGGGTTCCTTGGAAACCAGGAAAAAAATAAAACCCAAAACCATTCTCACGAGGAAACAGCAGTAACTGGAAGCACAGAAATGAGATTAGGGCCATTTGGTCTTCGGCCCTTGGAGAGACCCCAAAAGGGGCACCGCATCGCAGTCCCCAAACCAAAGCTTCATTGCCTCTCAGTCTGAATCCAGAGATGTCTCTCCACGTAGGCGTCTACAGCGGCGGTGGAGTAAGCACTTGGAGATGGCCGCAGGTGCTGGGATAGAAACAGGGGAATGTGGGCATCACCGGGCACTGGACTCCTCCCTCTAGTCACCAGAAGAACCCAGAGTCACTTAAATGCAGATGACTTTTGAAGGCTTTTGCAAGACAGTGATCTGAACTTCCCCTCCAGACGCTCCTAGATGGAAGCATTCAAGAAATAAACCTCAGTAGAAGCCTATCCGACTCTCACTCTGCTCTTTCTGCACTCCTAAAAATGTGATCTTTTGTTGTGAGCAAGAGCCAGGGTGTTTGGGCTTAGCATGAGTCTCCTGTTTGATGTCCTTTCTGCCAGTACATACGCTACAGAGTTCAGCCCTCCTCTTGCACTGAGCCATGTGATGGATACTGTGATGGTCACTGCACACTGTCAAGGCATCGATGTCAGCCCCTCCCCAAACAATGTCAGAAAATATTTCTGAATGCCCTTCAGGCTCCTATCTATTCAAATCCCTAAACATTGATATCAACTGACACCTCTTCAATTTACGTGAAAAGGCCTTTTCTTGAACAGCACCTATGGGCAAAACTCTGAAAAATACCATAGTGAAAAAGGCACTGCTTCTGTCCTCAACTGGTTTACTGCACTTTCTTTATCAACTAAGACATCATGTATGTCTCCTCAATAGTTTGGCATCTGAGTACTTTCTCTTGTTCCTAAGTGTTTCGTTGTTGTGTAACTAATCTCCCTAATGAAACTGTAAACTTACCTACAAAAGAACTCCATTTCATAACTTCCAGCTGAGCATCAGTGCTCAATAAAAAGCTGAAGTCAGCAAGCAATGACTGAGCGTGGGAGTCCTGGTGGGTTACATTTTGGACTGCTAACCATAAGGTCAGCAGTTCTGAGCTACCAGCCTCTCCTCAGCAAGGGGATGAGGCTTTCTAGTCCCTGTAAAGATTTACAGTCTTCTCTTTGGCCTGAGGACTTGGGTACTCAGATGGGAGAAGAAGCAGAGAGTGGCCACCCCGGGCCTGTTGAAGTGTCCGTCATTGGACCTTGAGGGGAACCCCTGGCTTGTTGGGTGCCAAAGGAAAGGGACCCAGAATCACCATACATTTAGCACCTCAATTCCCCCATCACAGTGACATGACAGGTTTTGATCTGTTGGGTACAGATCTGCACTTGGAAGAATTGATCCAGAGAGTTTCCCCCTGGTACCAATCCCTGGACTTAGGGCAAACAGAGTTCAATCAAATGGAAGATCAAACTGTGTGGAGCAACAACTCCTGGCTTGTGGCTCAAGGGGGAACTGTATGCACATAGACTCCTCATACTGGCAGTGTCTGGAGGGCGACGTCATTGGGAAAATTGTTGCTGTTATCAGTGCAATTGCTTTATACTCCAAGGGGATGATTGACAAGGTTTTACTTTTTGGTTTCTATGAGTTTTTGTTTTCTTGCCTTGAGTTCATTTTATTTGTTTGCTTGTTTTTAACAGTTATATGGGCACATAATCCATGTGGGACTTTTTGGTTTGTTTGTTTGTTTGCTAGTTGGTTTGTTGCTCTTGTTTGTGTAGTTGGTCTAATGGGGTTTTGAATTGTCATAATACCACTGCCATAGTAAACCTGAGTTGTGTATATCCCAGGAACAAGCAGATGGATTCTGGGCTCCCCCTTAACTCTAGCCCCAATCGAGGAAGTTAGTTCTGATACTCACCTACATGAAATGATCACTGAAGATAAGTTGTGGTGAAGAAAGCAGATGGTGCCTAGCTATCAATTGGAATCGTATCTGGGATCTTAAAGGCTTGTGGATTAGTCCAGGTGGACTAGAGAAACAAATCCAGGTAGACTCCTAGGTGTATAAGAGAGAGTTTTATATCAAAGAGTAGTTGTATATTAAGAAAACATCCCGGCCCAGTCCAGATCATGTTCATAAATCCAATATTAGCCCATATATCCAGAAATTCCTCTTCAGACTCACACAACACATTCAATGATGCTGAATGCAAGATCACAGGCCAGTGGGTAGAAGGTCTTGTGGATCCTGTGGCAGTGGAAGCGTCTCAATACTGGCAAGGGTCTCCACGTGTCTCCTCCAGCTCTCTGAGTGTCTCAACAGCAGGACAGCAGAGAGTAAGTGTGTACTGCCTCCAGGGAGGAAGATAGGAGTTCCCAGAATTCTCAGAAGGCCATGCCCACACCGAGGCATGATTGGCTATGACCTGATTGACAGGTTAGACTCCACCCTTTCACTCAAGTTGACAGGAGATTATGTAACTGCCACAGAACAACCCTTGTCACCTTGACACTTTTACACAACTGTTTAGCCATACAATTTTTAAACAAAGCAATAATAAAATCATATCCATACCTAACCGGATAAAACTAAAATGCATACAATTCAATATATGCCAGCCTCATTTAAACATAATATTCTATAAGTGAACAAAAAAAAATATTCTATGCCT